GTTTTTAATTGTTTTCTAACTTCATAACTCAATTTTCCCATAAATGGCAGTTTTACATATCTATGATCCCTTTTAACAGTTGGTACAACAGGTTGATCTAAGAATTTTTTACAAAGAAATGCATTTGTTATTCTATCAAATAGATACAATGGATACCCATTATTTACAAAGAAGTTTTTTAGAAAAGTCATTTCATCATGAAAACTAGACCAATTGCTACAAAGATTATAGGCTCTATTGATGAGTGTTTTTATACTGTTGATTTTATAAATATATGGGATATTGCTGAGAAAATGAAGGCCGAGGCCAGTAAAGGTTGGTTTACGATAAATGCTAGTATGGAATCGGCCATTATCATTGGTAACAGATGTGTCTGAAAAGGGTAGTTGGTTATTCTGTTGCATTTCACATGTAAATTTAATACTTGAGTGTTTAGAGTTAAGATAATTTAGAAATAAATTTACATGGGAGGGGTCTTTAAACAATACGAAAGTGTCGTCAATATATCGACGGTAGTAAATGGATCTAAACTCAAGTGGGCAATGTGTGAGCCAGTTTTGTTCATGGTGACAAAGGAAAGCATTGGCATATGAAGGGCCAAGTGGGGAGCCCATAGCTACCCCGTCTGTTTGGGTGTATAGTTGATTATCATATGAAAATACAGAGTGGTGGGCTGCAATAGTTAGTAATTTTTTTAAACTTTCTTTTGTTAAACCGAAATTGTCAAGATGGGTGTTTTTTATGTTGTTAGTTATAATATCAGTGGTTTCTAGGAGGGGGACATTGGTGAACAGTGATTCCACGTCAAAACTTGCCATAGTGACGGGTTGTTTAAGGTCAAGGGATCTAATTTCATTAGTAAAGGCTGTGGAATTTTCAATGGTATACTGATTGGTGGTTAAAGGAGATAAAATGGGAACCAGAAATTTAGCCGTATTATAATTGAAGATGCCAATAGATGAAATTATGGGTCTAAGTGGTAAGTTATGTTTGTGTACTTTGGGGAGACCATTCAGTAATCCGGGTCGGGAACCAGAGGAGGATAATAAAGTATAGGTATTTTCGCCAATGGACGATTTAATCGTCCGGAGTAATCTTTTTAATTTGTCTTCGAGATATAGTAAGTGGGTAGATATATCAGTTGTGATCTTTTTAAATT